TCAGTCAGTCAGTCTCATGTTGTGTTCATCCTGCCTTCCTAATAAAAACGATCTTCATCCTTCGCCAACCCCTGAGTTGTGCATTTGGGTACTCTTATTTCTGCATTCACACAGCGACCCCCGACAAAATGACAACTCATGTGCCGACACGCAATGATACCAGCCGAATCTGAACTGTATGAGTTGCAGCAGGCACCACTCTCCGTTTTGAGGGAGAGCTGAGGTGGAAGCCTAATGTCTCACATATGAAAACTCTCTCTCTCTCTCTCTGTTTTTCGCTCGCCCGCTTTCCCTAAACAACCAAATGTCACATGTTGCCTTATCATTTTTTTTGATTGGCTGACATGGTAAACTCTAACACCAATAGGGAAGGGGTGTATTTTCTTTTTCTTTTTTCACTTGCAAAGGGAGAGTGTTTGCTAGCGCTGTCTGTAGAAAACGCTGTTTTTACCGTTCTTCCCACAGTAAACACCACTGTTTTGTTCAGAAAAAAACATCGCGTGTATTTTTTATCATAACTCTGGTTTTACCAATTCAAAAACTGGTATATAGTTTGAAGTCCGCACTTTTGACCCAAGTTGAAATGGAGACTCTGACGTGCTGCATCTTGTAGCTGTGTCATAGTAAATTGGTCATGTGATTTTGATGCGCCGGCACGTCCCGCGACCCCAGAAGGTTTATTAATGGCAGGACTTCTTTAATCAGTTTTGTAGGAATGGGGTCTAAAAGACACGTTGATGGTTTGGAGGAAGTAATTACTGAAGTTAAATCAGAAAGATCAATTGGAGAAAAAGAGTCTACATAAATATCAACGGTACTAAAAGTAGCTGTAGATAATGTTAAATCTGTGAGATGATTATGGGTAATTTATTTTCAGTATTGATAAAAATTTTATTTGTGAAGAAGTTCAAGAAATCATTACTAGTTAACGCTAAAGGAATGGTTGGCTCAACGGTGCTCTGACTTTTTTTCGGGCTGGCTACAGTGCTGAAGAGGAATCTAGGATTGTTCTTATTTTCTTCAATCAGTGTTGATGATGTGGGTGGCTGTAGCTCAGGTGGCAGAGCAGATAAGCCACTAACCAGGAGATCAGGGATACTTGAGGGTGCATGGGAGTTTGCACAACCAGTCTACATGTGTTTTGTGGACTTGGAGAAGGCATT